CTGTAGGTCTAAATATTAATCAGAGGACAAAGTAATATTTAATAGTTTGTGTTTGTGCTCAGATCACATTGAGCTAAATAAGATCAAATCTGCTGACTTGTGTTGTGAAATGAGACGTTTTCCTGTTTATCTTCTGTTAATAAATCCATAACACAAACAGCTTTTCTGACATTATTTAAAACATTAGATAGATTATATAAACTGTATAATATTATTAATAATAGGGTTAATATTATTATTAATAGTTTTTATGATTTCTACATCATCAGTCCTTTTTTATCTGCTCTCTTGTCAACATGTACAGTAATGAGAAATCCAGACTCTTGACCGTTTTGCGTTAGCCGTTAGCTTCTCCAGCCGATCACATGGTCACGTGGTTTCTGCACACTCCAGCTGTTCTATATAAACTCCTTGGTCTTAAATCAACTCATTTTGAGGCTGTCTCTTTAAATCCAAAAAAGGTGCTTTGCACCTTGAGCCTAAATTCAGATTTTCCGCACTCCTAAAGGCCCCAAGTACACAATAAAACGCACTGACTGAATACAGTGGATTTGCATGATTTAAACAATCAGATCTTAAACCATAATGAATGAAACAAAGACTGCCAGAACATTTCCCCAGCTTTTCTTTAACAGTTATTATAAATAATATGAAAATTTCAACCGATATCAATATAAAATATTAATACTGCTGTTACGGCCAATAACCAGTATTCACTGATATAACACAAACACATGAATTATTTATAAACAAACTTATTTTTTTTTAATAGCATAAAAAACAACCAGACCACTGGCATGGCTCTCTGCTTCAGTTATTCCTTGTTGCACAGCATCACTAACACGATCATGATTTAAACAGATAACGCTCTCAAACAACCATCTCACCCCCTGAAACACAAAGCTAAATAGTGGGAAATCAATATCGGACAATAATATCGGCCCAGTTTTACTTATCAGACCAATACCAATATGCTAAAAGAATTACCAACATCGGCTGATACAGATGTTAATACCAATGTATAGTACAACTCTAATAAATATTTTATGAAACTATATATTTTTAAACTTTATTCATTTCATTAAAAAGCACATTTACATACAACAAAACAATACAAATCAAATAAAATTAAAGGTAGCAGAAGAAGAATAAAAAATCTTATAATATCTGTCCCAATTTGCAAAAAATAATATTAATTTCAAACAATAGTGATCACATAAAAACTAAACTAAATATCATGCCAACAATTCAACTTCTTTTTCAAAATGAAACACTATGTTTGTACCTGAGTCGTCCATTTTGGGCTGCAGCTCCTCCTGGAATAATTTTGGTGATAAAGATTGAGGGGTCCTCTCCGATGTGGGGGTTATCTGTGCCTCCAGCGATACTGAAGCCGAGGCCCGAGTTCCCCTGATCACACAGACAGAAACAGACTGTGGGTTCATGATAAATTAAACAACCTAAAGGCATAAACACCACTTTTACTAAATTGCTGTAAAGGTTCTGGCAATATATATTTTTTTTACTAAATCACTGCTTTAAAGGGATCCCTGATTAGTTGTAACATTAGACTTTATTTGATAAACATATATTTTAACTGTAAAATTAAGACTGTAAAAATACTGTAGGCTGTTTAGTTTTTATAATTTTTAAATATATTTTAACACGGATGGAGCCATTTTATTTACACACAAAGCATTCTGGGTAAATGATGACGTGGATAGGTCCTCGGTGTGAGCGAGCT